ATGCCCCATACGTGGATAAATTACTCTCAAAATGTAATTTAATTACATTTACAATTACTTTGCTTTAAAAGTAGTTTAATTACAATTACAATTACTAGTAAGTGAAAGTAATTCATTACGACTACAAATTACTTTTAAAATGTAATACAATTACTTATCTATGAGAGCGATTCGACTTGGGCCATATGACTTTAAGCGAGTAGTTAAGAATGCAACGCATTTGTTCTTTGCTTGCCCCACTTAGGAGGAGGCTTAGGCATCGCTGTGTAAATGTCATGTATTGTACGTTACTCGTGTGAATTATGTTAAATTATTAATACTACTGGACAGTCTGGGGCAATGAAGTCTTACATTCTTTTATTTTCAAGAAATAATATTAAATTAGCTCATATGCTCGAAGGAGCCAGATCGGTAAAGTAAAATCAGGTTGACACAATTTCGCTAGCCAGACAAATAAATATACGACAATTAGTCTTCTCGGAATATTTTAATAGTGTTATTATAATCCACACGTGCTAATAGGAACGCATGTACACACAGACGTTTTATGTTATTGTCCTGTCATGTACCTAAATATGCTATGTGCCTTATATATATGTGTGTATATGCGCGTGTGTATGATGCGTATGTATGTATGTGTGTGTATGTATGCGTGTATATACATGTATGTATATACATATGTATATGTGTATGTGTATATATATATATGTATATGATTTTTTTGTTATCTTTAACAGCGTGTTTAACTTATGCTGTTCTTCTGGTTCTTTTTTATTTATTTATTTATTTATTTATTTGCTTAATGTTTAAAGCTGAAAACTTAATGTTATTACTTCATGTGTAGTATGTCGCCGTGTGCCAATTGTAAGGCTGCAGAGGCCTTGTCAAGTCAAACTTTTGACTTTTTGCCCCTGCAGCCTACATCAGTTTCTGATGTGAAATAAAGGATTGATTGATTGATTGATTCATTGATTTATTTACATTGAGTTGGAACTATGATGGTTCAGAATTATGTAAGAACCGAATCGGGGCTCCTGAATCAATGGTGACAATATTCCCAGGTGAGAAGTCAGTCTCCAAAACGCTGAATCCAATATGATACGAAGTAAAGCCAACAGAAAATAAACTTGGAACTGCGAGTGTGTCACCGAGAGCTAGGCCGCTGGTGCGGGCACTGAGGCTTTCAGAGGCATTCCGCCAGAGCCGCAGTCTTGCAAAAGTAATTTGTAATTGTGCCCGAAATTTTGCACTTACTGAAGCTAGAAAGTAATTAAATTACAATTACAATTCCTTATAGCCCAAAGTAATTAAACGCAATTACAAATTTAAAAGAAAGTAATTAAATTACATTAATTCAATTAGTGTAGTTGAATTGCTACTTCCTTTTGTCCTGCGGCTCTCAGAACGTTTATAGTTTTGTTTGCATCTCTAACCCCATGTCACTCTGGCCACCCCTGTTATAGCACATCATTTTTACCATCTCATAAAAGGTGGATCATGCCGGCGTGTTTCGCGGAACATGAGCCGAATTGTTCATGCGAAACTACACGTCACACAGAAGATTTTAATTTCGTTCTAGTTTCTTAAAAGGGTACATTCAGAACAATCATTAGCGTCTGCGATAACGAAGTTCTGAATTAGGTTTGGGAATTTGAATTTCTAAATTAACAAATTTAAACGATGTTTCAGCTAGAAAATAGCTAACAACCGTCTAGAATCACAAAATCAGCGCACGTAGAAAGACAGAAAGCGCCCCAAGCATTTACAGCCTTTCAAAAACAGTTTGGGCTTGTTTTCAATTTTCGGTTTTCTATCGGCAGAGCCGCAGAGGTCCTGCTCCCTGCTGACAAAGCGCTCAATAACACGCGCCATTCCACATTCTTCGCATTTGTTGCGAAAGGCACTGCGGCAGAACCGATACCTACCTTGATGAGGACCCTCGTAGTCGGCAACGGTCAGCTTGTAACCCTCCTGTTTGGAGCCGACGACGAATTTGTGATAGAGCAATACTGTCGGTTCCCTTTGTCCTATTTTTGTCAGTTCGATTCTGAGAGCTTGTTGGTTGTTCGGAAAACTCGTAAGTGCATGAAGATTATCAAGTCCTTTGACGGAAGGAAAAAAATGCGCTTAGAAATAAACACGAACACCCTCTCCAAATGGTAAGACTGACTCATAAACCCTCCATGACGTGAGGCCTCACTCCTAACATGAGCTGCAGGAATGTGCATGGCGCTGACTAAAACCATAGATCAAACCAAGCTAACGATAGTAAATTGAAACAAGAAACACCTGCAAGAGTAGCGACTCACATTTTTCGTTTCACGATGCTATATAACCATATGCTTCAATAGCAGAAAAATATGCATTTAATTATATAAAGATAATTGTTGGTATTCATTAGCAAGCTAAAATGCTGGCAGAATAAACTTATTTGTGAGAGCTTGTTTTGAATGGTGAGTATCAATGTTAATTGCAAAGCAAAGAAACACAGATAGGCTACGTCACCCGAGGGTATCTTTATTGACTGGTTTTGTTTTACATGTGAACCAAAATTAATATTAATACTACTGGTGATTTCTGTTTAACGCAATATTCTTGTTTCTTTTTGTTGGTTTGGGGGAGATTCTCAAAGGAGAGTTAACGTGGCTGACAGATGTGATGTGGGCCACGGGGCATTTAGCCCACTAAAGTCCGCGGGAAAGTTTACCCCGTGACGTGACGCGAAGGTGTCACGTTACACCCACGACTCCAACTGTCTATATGTGGCGCCACTCGTTTATCAAAATGGCGGTAATAGTGAGGATCGGAGATACGTGATGGTATACCATTTTCTAGGCCTGTCTCGTGGTGTGTTGACATTACACAGCGACACGAATTATTCCCGCTTTGGCGAGGAAGCTGGAGTAGTGCGCAGGCAGGTCGCATTTTTCTCCCGAAAGCAACAAATATGCGTAGCGTAATATTGACTCCATGGTACAGTTTTTTTTTCTTAGGGGCGAAGCTCCTTAGGGTCTAGCCTTGTCCGGCGTCCGTGCTCACATCAATTGCACTGCCTCCGAAATCGGCCAATATAAAAAAAAAAAAAAAAAAAAAAAGTACGTTTGTTTAGGGGCTCGAATAGGGAACCGCTTGCTTACGAGGCAGACGTCTTAACCACTACGCTACACTTTTTTTTTCTTTATTGCACACTACGCTACACTTCAACGTTGCATGTAGTCGCTCAACGTCTATTGGCGGCGTGCGCGAACTATAGGGGGCGCTTTCCAGCTATCATCATCATCGTTTGTGACGTAAGCAGTAGGACTGGTGGATGCCTCCTCCTAGGTCGGCCGCGCTACGCTTCGGTGCTCGGGTGGTTGCGATCGTTCCTTTTGAAGTTTTCTAGACGCGACAAAGGTTGTTTCACGCGTTGTCCAAGCGCCGAGATGGTGGTGTACTGCTCGGTACCGCAGTGCAACACCTACCACGGTGAGACGGGCGCAAGTTTTTATTATTATCCGCGCGACAGGAAAGTCAGAAAGGAGTGGCTGACCAAGTTGAAAATGGGCAAGACGAACTCGAAAAGCTCTCGCGTATGTAGTAAGCACTTCGATGAAAGTGACTTCGTGTACCCTGTGGGCTACAAGGTGCTCGGTGAGTGATATTCTATCATTAGTTTCGAGTTCACTTGTTCCTGTGCTTTGCAAACGAGTAAACAAATGCATTCCCTCAACAGGCTGGAAGAGGCGGTGGCTGGCTCCTGGGGCCGTTCCAAGTAAATGCTTGCCTATCCGCCCGTTTGACGCGAAACGGCCGAAACCAATTCCGCGATCGAGACCTGGAAGAGCGAGTAAGTCACTGGTAATCGGTAATGAACCAAGGGAGGGGGGGCGGGGCGGTGCGGTGCGGGGTTCGTTTCGAAGCTGTCGTACACCTGCTACGAATCATTCTGGTCGTTCTTTTTACGGACCCAACTGTTTTAAGCAAGAAGTGTGGTATGCTTTTCAGCAAGAGCTTTTAAGTTTATAATCTATCTTCGTCTAAAAATTGATAAATCATTTGCTAATTTGTTGGGCCATGTCCGGCAGTTAATCAAGTTATATAAATCTGCAGGGCATAACACTTCTTAACCTTCGCGTGCAGTATGGAGAACCTCTTATTAAGCTGTGTGTCACCTGAATGGCAGCACAGGCTAGCAGCAGAATCTTTATCTCTGCCGCGTAATTTCACGAGGTTTGTCAGGTGACAGTAAATTAATAGCCTCAGTGTGCACCCTCGACAAAGCGTGATGGTGGAGTATGCCCGAGCCCTAACACACAGTCCCTCTACATATGATTTTCAGCCAGTAGAGGTCCTACTACAAGTGTTGCTGCAACAGGGGTGGCTCCGGATACAAGTGCCGACATGACCGAGGAAGCAACAATCACAGGTGTGTTGAATACTGCAGTTGTCTTTCTGCATCACTGTTGCTGAACGAAGCCAAATACCTACCAGGTGGTTAGTCATATTACTGTAGTGTCGTCTATGCCATAGCTTTTCTAGCTTTGAGGCAGCTACGCTGTGGGGAAGGTGGGTGCTACTATTTGTGAATCATGTCATTTAATATGCCTCCAACGCACAAATGCTCAAAACCTATACTCGGCGTGCTTGCACTTGTGTTTGGCTGCACTCTCACGCAGCAGAAACAAATGCCAAAACTTTAGTTTCACTATCGAAGCACATGCCAAGGCAACTAATTTGCATTTTTGATCTATGTTGTGCTTGTGTCCTTAGAAACATAGATAAGGCATTGATTCTCCATTTAATTTCAATGAGCAGTTTCATTCACTGCAGATTGCCAGAGTCCTGGAGCTGAATGTGAGGCCGATGCCGACCCTGCCACAGTTGCAGCCGCTTCCGGACTGGCCCACTTTACCAGTGCTGGTGTGAACAGCGCAGCCACCATCATGGGTGTGTTTCATTTGCCTTCACATTTGTAGTAGTCATTGGCCTGGTACACAGCACACGCTCCTCTACAGCATTCTAACCATGGTGCAAGAAGAACCCATTTAGGTGATGATGCTATCCGCATTCCTGTGGAAGGAGTGCGTCCGCAAATGCTTTGCACCGAGATGTGGAGAGGGCTGCTTGTTACCGAGCAATCGCAAGCCACCGTTTTCGGGTGCCATCCAACTACGTCAGAAACAAGTGGCAAGCACGCATCAACCTTGGCCGCTAATTGGTTCTGTGTGCCTTGGCACCTTTCTTGAGTACTGAAAGATGGCGCCCTAATATGGAGGCAAGCTTATACAGCGCATGCCCAGCGGCGAACACAATCTGGACGGCCACCTAAATGGGTTCTTCGTACACCACAATTGTAACTCGAAGAGGGTCGGAAGATATAACACTGTTATCATTGTCTGTGCTTGTATTGCCACGCGCATCAACGCAAGCGGGCACATAGCCTAGTGGTCACCGTGCGCGGCTTCCACGAAGAAGACCGAGGTTCGAACCCGGGCAGCGGACACACTTTTTTTTTAACGTTCTTGTGAATTCGAGAACCTTCCCTCATGTTCATAATCAGAATGTCCTATGCGCCGAACTTTCTACGCCGATTGCTCGAAGGCCAGACATGTATAATAAGGGCTCTGTGTGACGAGCTGGAGTCGATCTTGCTCAAGCGCTTGACACTGCTGCTACGCCGACGCCTGCGGCGCTACTTATTATTTTGTTTTGGCACAAGTTCGCCTTATTAAACATTCAGTTTCTTTCGTTCTTTCTCGCCTCTTCATCAGTCATTCGTGACAGTATTAAAGAAATATCTACTCACGCATGCTATCCTTTCATTTCAAGAACTGTCCATGGCTAACAGCTGCAGAGATGACTTCAGCAACGAAGGTAATAGAAAGAATGTACTTTTTCCAATCTAAACTGTATTTTGTATGCTTGGTGGCTAGTGCATTTATTCTGTTGGATTGAAAGTGGTAGCAAAGCCTGACCTGAAGGGCATATCTAGCTTTGAGGCAGCTACGCTTGGGGGAAGGGGGGGGGGGGGGGCTACGATTTGTGAATCATGTCAATTAATATGCCTCCGACGTAGAAATGCTCAAAAACTATACTCAGCTTCAGCAAGAACCTACAGTGCAAGCTACAAGTGCAAGCTCAGTGCTTGCACTTGTGTTTGGCTGCACTCTCACGCAGCAGAAACAAATGCCAAAACTTTAGTTTCACTATCGAAGCACATGCCAAGGCAACTAATTTGCATTTTTGATCTATGTTGTGCTTGTGTCCTTAGAAACATAGATAAGGCATTGATTCTCCATTTTATTTCAATGAGCAGTTTCATTCGCTGCAGATTGCCAGAGTCCTGGAGCTGAATGTGAGGCCGATGCCGACCCTGCCACAGTTGCAGCCGCTTCCGGACTGGCCCCCTTTACCAGTGCTGGTGTGAACAGCGCAGCCACCATCATGGGTGTGTTTCATTTGCCTTCACATTTGTAGTAGTCATTGGCCTGGTACACAGCACACGCTCCTCTACAGCATTCTAACCATGGTGCAAGAAGAACCCATTTAGGTGATGATGCTATCCGCATTCCTGTGGAAGGAGTGCATCCGCAAATGCTTTGCACCGAGATGTGGAGAGGGCTGCTTGTTACCGAGCAATCGCGAGCCACCGTTTTTGGGTGCCATCTAACTACGTCGGAAACAAGTGGCAAGCACGCACCAACCTTGGCCGCTAATCGGTTCTGTGTGCCTTGGCACCTTTCTTGAGTGCTGAAAGATGGCGCCCTAATATGGAGGCAAGCTTATACAGCGCATGCCCAGCGGCGAACACAATCTGGACGGCCACCTAAATGGGTTCTTTGTACACCGCAATTGTAACTCGAAGACGGTCGGAGGATATAACACTGTTATCATCGTCTGTGCTTGTATTGCCACGCGCATCAACGCAAGCGGGCACATAGCCTAGTGGTCACCGTGCGCGGCTTCCATGAAGAAGACCGAGGTTCGAACCCGGGCAGCGGACACACTTTTTTTTTTAACGTTCTTGTAAATTCGAGAACCTTCCCTCATGTTCATAATCAGAATGTCCTATGCACCTAACTTTCTACGCCGATTTGCTCGAAGGCCAGACATGTATAATAAGGGCTCTGTGTGACGAGCTGGAGCCAATCTTGCCCAAGCGCTTCACACTGCTGCTACGCCGACGCCTGCGGTGCTACTTATTTTGTTTTGGCACAAGTTCGCCTTATTAAACATTCAGTTTCTTTCGTTCTTTCTCGCCTCTTCACCAGTCATTCGTGACAGTATTAAAGAAATATCTACTCACACATGCTCTTTTCAAGATCGTTCCATGGCTAACAGCTGCAGAGATGACTGTACTTTTTCCAATCTTAAACTGTATTTTGTATGCTTGGTGATGGCATATGCATTTATTCTGTTTGATTGAAAGTGGTAGCATAGGCTGACCTGAAGGGCATTAAATGTAGTGAATTACATGCACCAGATATTCAAGATACTAGTGTAAAAATGCAATATTGCTTCTATTTGCACCATTTGTTCATGTAGAAAGGTAGCCGAGTAGACAGAGTGTTGCAGCTTCCCCATTTTTTACTCGACAATGGTTGGGAAAAGCAGGAACCTTTGTGAATTGTGCAGGCTTCTGCATTATCAAATGTGCATATTACCAATTGCCAACGTGAACAATTTCAGATGTTGAAGAGGAGCTGTGTCACCTCAAGCGAGATATCGGTGTTCAAGTGAACACATGGACTGAGGGGAGAAGACAACTGATTACCATCTCCACTGTTAAGGACGAACAGGCACTGTTAGTGCTAACGGGCATCTCGAGCTTGGAGCTGTTCTATAACATTGCCAATTTGTTCACCGACGCTCGGAGGAAACAGTCGAAGAGGAGCTTCTCACTTAGCAATGAGGATGTTATCCTGCTCGTCTTCACCAAACTTTACCACAATGTGTCTTTTTCGCTGCTGGCCGTCCTGTTTGACGTACACCGCACTACGGCGTCGAGTATTTTTAAGGAGGCCATTGTACTGCTAGCATCTGTGCTCGGGCATGCAATCTACTGGCCTGACAAGGACCACGTCACTGCATGCCTCACGAAGCACTTCGATAAATACCGCATGACAAGGATGGTCTTGGACTGCACAGAGATTGCAATTGAGCGACCAAAAGACCTGCCATCACAGATCTTAACGTACAGCATTTACAAAAAAACCTATACTGCTAAGATTTTGATTTGCACAACCCCTGGAGGCCTCATTAGCTATGTGAGCCGTGCCTACGGAGGTAGGACCTCCGACACACACATAACCCGGGAAAGCGAAGTTCTGACCAAATGTGAGCCCCACATTGACAAGGTCATGGTAGATAGGGGCTTTTTAATTGAAGACTTGTGCTATGAGCATGGGCTCGAGATGATCCGGCCACCTTTTCTTGGCCAGAAGAAGCAGCTGTCGCCTGGTGACGCAAAAAGAAATGCCAGCATTGCGAGTGCCAGAGTGCATGTAGAAAGAAGCATTCAGCGCATCAAACGCTTCAAGATCCTGCAGCAGCGGTTCCCACTTGATCTGCTTGCATACCTTGACAGCATTGTTACTACGCTTGCAGGAATTGTAAATATCTCGAAGCCACTGTTTGCAGACGACAAATATTTGTTTCCGTGAAAGCTGAGTTCCATGCCAGCGACACGTTTTCTTTTACTTTTAGCTTCTCAGTAACTTTTGCTCGAAATACAGTAATAACAATAAAGTTTGGCGTCAAGTTCTACTAGCTTTTTTTTTGTGCATGTTCAATGCCCAAGGCTCTAGTCATAGATACTGAATTGCAAATCGAAGAAAACGGGTGTAATCACTAATCCCATGATGGAGGCACGAAGCTTTCACTGATTGTGGGATTAAGGAACAATCGATTATGCTTGTACCAGTGGGAAATGAGTGACATGATCCTTTATCATAACATAGTCTAAAAGAACATAAGACACTTAAACAACTTGACATCATAAGTGAAGCTGAGCGTAAGAGGACCAAGAATTGATCACCTGGTCCTGTTAGCGGATGACAAGTCTAACAGCGTAAGTGAACCAGGTACATAATTCTAGACATGTACCATAAAAAATAATTTGCACAAGAGGTATATTTAACTCGTAAAACACCTTTGACAAATCAAAATAGTTTTCATCTACTTGTCCTCCACTCATAACATATAACTCACAGCAGTCTAAAACATTTTAAACAAAAAAGGCATCTGGGTGTACACAATTTTGAAAGAACACCTTAAAAAAAATTCATGAAACGGAAGTGGGATGACTGTTAATAATAGTACGTGCATCACAACTTTTTAAGATTAAGACAACCACTTTTCCAGTTGCGACTGTTGTGATTGCGTGAACAAATGACATGCAAGGTTCCAAAACGGTGGAAAGACGCCCCAAGGTGATGTCTTCAATGAGTGGCCACGTACTGTACAAAACCAGTGGGTGTAAGGAGCACTGAGAACAATGACTGCAGAGAAGCATAAAACGAAGCAGTGCTTATGCTGATCCGAAATTTAAATGACAAAGCAAGGCAGGAGCGATAGGCGGGATGCTACACGCTCAAAAACGTCGCTCATGCAGCGCTATCTCAAACAGATGGCCGTATTTTTGGAAAAGAAAGGCCCGACTGAATGAGGCCGATGAGACATCCCCTCTACCCTTCGCTTCATCTCCTTGAAGAGGTGAACTGAAGCAAAGAGGAGAGAGGCGTGGCCGCTTGCTCTCATCCTCAACAGTTCTGGGAGAATCGCAATGTCACATTCCTCCTTCAATGGCACCCTTATTTTTCCAAAAATATGGCAAGCTGTTCGAGATACTGCTGTACGAGTATATTGTGGGGCTTCTAGCATCCTGTTGGAACACTTCTGCAGCCTTGTAAATCCAAATTTCGGTTCAGCATCCTGTTTCACAGTGCTAAATTGGCGGTCGCGTAAAATCGGAGAATTACACAAAAACAGTGCATAGGAGGCTAAACCGCAGTAATCAGTGGTATCATATACTCCTTAAAGAAGAAAACCGCCCTCTCAATTACATCTCTGAAAAATACTTCATCAAAATGCACAGAAAAAAGTATGTGCGTGTGCTCGTCTTGATAGACAAAGAAGTCTGTGCTTCGAATCTGAGCAATACCCATTTGCACTTGCACCTGGCAATAATACCTGCTTGTTTTCTTAAGCATATGATTATCACTGTTCTTCATCATCTCTCTGCTCTTGAAACCTTGCATGCCATCTGTGCACTTTACCTCAATCAATCGACGTTCACAACAGTCGCAAGTGACGATCCCGTCAGGACTTGCCCCAACACATGGGTCTGACTCCATTATCAGAAGCCCGCTGTCTTGGATCGTGAGGTTGGCGTGGGTTGACTCCTGCAAGTACTTCCTCTTGGCAGTGCTTTCGTCTTGCGACCCTCTTGCCATTGCAGCTGACTGGAAGGTCGACTCTCGCATGAGGACCTTGAACAAGGGACGCAAATCATGGGGACCCATTTTTGTCCTCAAGGTCTTCACCCTCGTGTAGACGCTGTAGGCCACAGATGCACTAATCAGACCAGTCCTGTATTCCATCCATATTGGCGATTCTGCTTGTTGGATGGTAAGTGTGGCAATCTCTTCCACAACAGCCTTTGAAAACATTTCTTGGAGGGCTTCGTAGAAGCTGTCATCAGATGCTTGATTATCTCTGCTCATCATTCTTAATGCCTCGGTTAGTGTCGCTGGCCTCTGTGGTGGGGATGGCGACTCCTCTGGCTCGATGCACTGAAAAGCTACAAGACAAAATCATGACACAACTTTATTCGTCCCAGCTTCTCGCAAAGGTACGTCATTGTCAAGCAGTAGGATACATCCCACTTGAGAGAGGGTTCCATTCTCGGTCCCTAGTTTGAGTATTTCAGCATAATTAATTTATATATATTTCAACAAAATTTATCGTGTCCACACGAAAGCATACGCAGCACATCACAGTTAGTGGTTTTTACCAATGAGGCTCGACTATCGGGGAAAGGAAACAAGCAAGCTCGATTGCTGGTCCTTCAAATTAAAGCATATCTATGTGTGGCAGTAAATTCATTGCATACCTTGAGGGTCAGCTTTTCCTAATATTAGGCTTTCCCACCTCTCATCCCTTGTATAGATAAAGCACCTGGGCCTCTACTGGTATATGGTGGCTTACCCCTAGTAGCTACCACCAGCACAATAATTGAAGATCTTGGGTGAAAATTATTACTTTGCAATTTTTGAGCTAAGCAAAGCAAAGGAAGTTTTCACATTCTGCGTCACGGAAAAAAACAAAAAGAATTGTGGCGTTCTCATGAAGAAGCAAAGACCACGAGGTTAGGAGATTCGGCGATGACGGAATAGGACGGGTGGGCTTGGCTGTGACCTGGAGATCAGTGACTCTCAGCAACAAGCTGAAGAGCGACAAGGAATTTCCTGTACCTACCCATTCCCGGCGCCGGCCCGAACGGACACTGTGAGGAACCTCTGCACCCCCCTACTGTTGGCAATGATCCGAGGCAACCCAAAGCATGACCAGAGTCCCTCCCCTCACACAGTGACAAGGACGCACATCCATCAATATAGGTTAACTTCCGTTGAAACATATTCACTGAAGTGGTCGCCTGAACGATGGATGTGAGTACCCACATCTTGTAGGTATGTAAATACTTGAGCACTGACATGTCATATTTTATTAATATACATTTATTTACTCTTCCAACCACATGCATACTTTTCTTTCACTCTTGTGGTTGGCCAGAGTAAATGTATATTAATAAAATATGACATATCAGCGCTCAAGTATTTATATATCTACTAGACATCGCTAAATTCTCACATATATCGTCCAGATGACCACCTCAGCCAAGATGTTTCAGCCGAAGTTAATCTATACTGCTGGATGTGCGTCCTTGTTACTTTGTGATGGGACCCTTCTCGTGGTTCAGGTTGCCTCGGGTCATTGCCGAGAATAGGTTGGTACAGAGGTTCCTCCCGGTGCCAGTTCGGGCCACTGCCAAGAATGGATACGTACAGGAAGTTTCTTGTCGCCTTTCGGGTTGTTGCCGAGAGTCATTGATGCTTCTCCGGGTCATAGCCAAGTCTACCCGTCCTATCGGTCATCGCCGAATCTCCTGTTCTCATGCTTTTCGCTTCTTCACAAGCATATCACACTTCTTTTTTGTCTCTTTCCCTGACGCGGAACATGACAGGGCGCTTACCCATTATTCAGAATGATCCAAGTTAATCTATCCTGCAGACAACACTATAAGGAGCCCATATTGGTCATGTTTTTTTTGTTTTCCCAACAGATTCAAAATGTTTTCAGAGTAGCTCAGAACTGGCAATGATGCAACTGTTCCTTCAAGCTGTCAATCAGTATGTGGCAGCTGACAGTCGTTCTTTAAGCTAAAACTTTTAGACTGCAGTGTAATTCCATAATATTTTTTTCATTATAGGTGACTGCTAAATGTTACAGGCACAATACCAACAATCAAAGTAATTTGTGGACTAACCATGTACGGGGATTTCCTCGCGGTGACGGTGAGCAGCAGAGCGATATGGGAGCCCCTGCAGTAGCTTGCCCAGGACGTCTCCCTCCAGACTTGCGTCACTCGCTGTCTTGATCTAGAATTTCGAATAAGGAAGCACATTAGCCCTGGATTGGGTTTACTGCCAGGCAAGCACTGTCCAGTTTAGTTGGTGTTGCGTGACCTTGGCCCTATAAATGGAGTTTTTCTATCAACAGTAAATGTCACTGGCCACACACACACAAAAAAAAAAAAACAGTTCATGACATATGAAGGAAAACACAGAATTGCCAAACTCAGCAATCAGACTCACTATTGGCCTGCGATATGCACCACAAGCCACTCGTGCTATTTCCAGTCGCAGCATCCATGGCAGGCACTTATCACGGCGGCCGTTGAAGTGGCACGTCTTGCCAGATTCTGAGGCGAGCACCATGTTGCAGAATAGCGGAAGAACAGACGTGCCTGTAAGCAGTCGGAGAGGCATGCGCTATATGGTAGTCGAAACCAGGCGAGCCATCGGCAGATGGCGCAGAGATACGCCTCAATTGCGGCTCGCATGTACTGGGCATTTGTGCCTACATTACTTCCTTGCTGCCTCTTAGAATTACCATCCACTGTAGTATGCTGTATTCTTGCACATACATACCTTCTTTACGCAGGGAAGCTCAATGATTGGCCTGGGTGCATACTTGTCCTTCACACCCTGTTTTTGACTTTTCCCCCACTGCTGTGGCAGGTCGGTCGACGACAAGATTTCAAACACCTTTGTGGCATGGATGTACAGGAGCATGGCCACAATGTGTTTGCATTTGTAGCTCCTAAAAATGAAAACAGTGCTACTGTGAAGTAAAGCCTTTACAATGAATTTCTGAGATATACAAAATCGCCAAAAGCACTCTTTTTGAAGCAATGAGATGACATCCTGCTTCCATGTTTACCGTGTTTACATACAAGCCTTAAAATGGTATGGTATAAATTATGGCAGTGGCAGAAGTTAGCGGAAGGTATGGCTCCGACGCACTGATGTCTGCACCACCTTCTCCTGGCATCATGGGTTAATGTAAACCTTTCCCGCACGTGTTTGTCAATCTTCTGGCTTGTCCGTCCGTTCCGTTCCCCCCCCCCCCCCCCACACACACACACACAAAAAAAAAAGGGTCGTAGAAGCTGGCATTAGTCACACTATTCACAGAGGCACCCATGAGGAACCATAAGCCGAGCAATGTATAGTTGCCCTTTCTAGCTTAATTTGTATGATCAACATAACATTAGACTGGTTTCCTCCAATATGTTTGTAATTCGCTTGCATCGAAGTATCGTTTTCATTTTAGCAAGCTCCACTGAAGGTTCATGCAATGGGGAAGTTGTTGCAGTCCAAGCAATTGACTTTTGCCAGTTTTCAGAATGAAATACTCGCACGCTCTGCCTCAGCGGAGGAACCCCCTCTCGAAATATTACCCCTGCGGGACGAGCATGCGAGGTATGTTAGCGTACATTCTACATTAAAAGTGTCCGGAAAGGGAACTTCCGAAAGCAGGGAAGATCAATTAAGAGTTCACAACATGCGTACCCTGCTTTGCACGAGCATGATGCAGCTGCCACTGTCTTCTCTTTCACCACGATCTCGAGCTCGTGCGGGTCTCTGCTTAAAGCCGATGTTTGCAGCACGAAACCTACAAACGTGCTGTTACTGTCAACTTTTTCTTTAACACTGCACGTCACAACGTGCCCAGCTTCCAGTACGGCTTCTCCCTCGAGCAGAAGTCGAGATGTGGCAAACTCCTGTGCCACGTACTCGTTGATACTGGAGAGGGGAAGCGTCACTGCAAAGGAAAAATAATAATTCAGACTTGGTTCACGCAGTTCCGTACGAATGCTTGGAAACAACTCCAGAGCCGTGCAAATTCCTTACCTTGGACGGAAGCGTCGGTATCGGCGAGCTCCATACCACCACAACGACAACGCGCGCGTGCACAGTTGTCCCCTCACGCCCTGCTGAATGCGAACTTAACGCTGCTAGATTAAAATTAGATTAAACTAATCAGGACCAACAGACAAAGAATCGCCACACGCTAAATCCAGAACAAAAGAAAGTCAGCAAGCAGTACCAGCGCAACCGCGCATCCGCGTTGGACTGCGCGCGCGCTACCAAGTTCTAGGCTTGCTCTCGAACATCTTAAAGCTGGTATCTATCAAGAGAGCTTGGGAGGGGCTGCCGTTCAGTCCCACAAAAGCTCATGACACGTCATAAAATTTTAAAAATAATTATCAATCGTCCCTGCTGTAAACTAACAGAAATGTCTCATACGATTACATATAGCGTCGTCTGCTAGCGTCCTACTGACTAGGTTACAGAAAGCATCCGCGAGGCGGCGCCACCCAAAGATCTCGTCGCCAATACAGGAGATGGCGCTGCGGTCAAATGCTCAACTGCGTATATAACCTCGATCCATACAACACATTCTCTTTCTGACATGGACCGTTGACTTAAGCGGTGGAGATGCGTTCCCCCCTCTTCTAGCGGATCCAAGCTGATCCGCTAGAAGAACCACTGGCTCTGCATTTCCCCCACCATTAAGCAGTAATAATGAAGTTGAAACGCAATCCGGAACTCCGCACCACCTATGAACAATAAAATCAGTATCATCAGCACCACCACAGCTTCGCCGCAATGAACATCATTCACCACGTGGAGATGCGGCCACATTTTTTTTAAACATAAAGTCACGAGCAAAACAGAAACCAAATGTATAAAGCAGGCGAGCTCCTTAAGGTTCCACAGGATTCTAAACCGCCAAGGAACGGACGACAAAGGGACAAACACACACATTTTCCAGCTCATCACTTTGCTTCACTCATAAAGATTGAGACGTGTGTGTTTGCGCCCTTGTCGTCCGTTAGTTTCTGGTTTAGTATGGTGTGTACCAAAAATACTGTTTTGAAGTCAACGCCTCGGTATAGACGTTAATGTCGGTTTCACACCTACCGACAAATGTGTCTCAGAACGTAGTTAGTGAGTTAAATAATATTTTGAGGCACTTAAAGATGTGATCTTAAAAGTCATTCCACTTTAGATGTGTTAAACGGGTAGATCATTCTTTAAATCGAACACTCGTATGTTACACATCGAGTTTTGCGATTTTTAGAGATCCATCCCTACCGAAAAACCCAGTATAACGTTTCTCTATCTGGATTATAAAACTAGACATCTACATGGATTCTATCTGGATTTCATGTTTGCAGAAGTTATTCACTTGGCATCACGCTGCTGTTACCTGATGACGTATTTTATGATCATCCTTCGGGCACAGCACAACGCCGCCGACGCCGCTTGTTTCTTAAGTATTGTGAAAAGTGAAGTCGTCCTAGAGGTATAGGACGACTTCTAGGATGACCGCAAGGATGACGCCAAGGCAATGGGACAAGTAAGATCGCTCGATGAGCGGAGCGAGCCGCTCAATCGTATATACATTTATCGGTTTATACGACGCTTTTTCGCTCATCGGGACAAGTAAGCCTTTCGCTTCAAAACATGTTTTACGAATGCTGTCTAAAATATTATTAAAGTGTTGTTTACGAAGCGTCTAAATCTCAATCTTGTGCTCTTGGAAAAGTCCGACCATAGCTTTATGCAAGACACATTGAAGTGGTCACCGACCACCACTCTTTGTGCTGGCTTGCTTCCCTTAAGGACCTAACCGGACTCCTCGGTCGGTGGGCGCTAAAACTGCAGGAGTATGATTTTAATATCGTCAACAGAAGTGGTCAAAAACATCAAGACGCTGATGGCCTCTGCCGATGTACGCTTACCCTTAAAGGGCCTCTGAAAGGAAAAAAAGAACTTTTTTTTTAACAGTCTGTTGGGACACGCGTGGCACTAAACAAATTTTACGCGAAAAAAAAAATGTTTAGAGCGGTATTCACGGTGATAAATTTATTTGAAATTCTGCACGCAAAGTCCATGACGTCACGAAGTGGTCATTCGCTCAATGAGATGGTAATTCGCTCTTTCCACCTCGACGCGAAGGCGAAACCGGTCCACTTCTCCTCCAGGCGCTCGGCATGCCGAGATGAAAAACAAGTAGAAATGAGGTGACTAGCGACTAAATCGCGTCTCGGGTCGTGAATATTTCTCTAAAAATGTTTTCTTTTGCGTATAATTAATTTTTTGACACGGATGTCCCAACAACACTGTTAAAAAACTTTTTTTTTTCTTTCCAGGGGCACTTTAACACCATTACTACACTTGCACTATACACAAATACCACAGCTTCAATCGCTCCTATTTCCTGTGAGACTTTGCCTTCCGAGCAGCGTGCAGATCGTGTGAATAATTCAGATACTCTCCCACTTGAGAGGCAGCAATCCGTTCAAAAGTTGACGTTTTACTAACAAAGCTCAACAATTGTTTATATTGACGGGATATTGTTTTGTCAAAATTATGATCCACAGGGTAAGCGTTGGCTCCTTGTCATACCTCAACACCTCTGACAAGAGATATTACAAAATCTGCAAGATGAGCCCCCTGCCCGCCATCTCGGATTCCTAAAACCTACACAAGAGTTTGTCATCCATGGGTTCTTTTGGCCCGGAGTGTATAGTGCTGTATTCAAGTGCGTCAGGAGTTTCCAGCTGTGCCAGCGTCGAGAGTGTCCCACATCAACTCCCCCAGGACTTCTCGAACCCATAGCTCCCCCTCATTTACCGTTCGTCGTTGTGTGAGTTGACCTATTCGGACCCTTCCCAGAACTGGATAATTGTGTATATCGACCATCTAACATGTTACGTAGAAACAGCGGTCCTTCCCAACGCTACAGCACCCTAAATTGCTGCGTTCCCGCTGAACCAGGTGATTCTCCGCCACGGAGCTCCACGTACTCTCATAAAAGATCGCGGACGGTCCCTTTTGTCTACCACCGTGGAGGCGCTACTTAGTTACTTACCACTAAATTTCTTTCTCATGTCAAAAAGAACTTGAGATGAACACCAGAATGATGCAATGACGTTACTTCCAAGCCATGTATATTGGAAACTCGGCCGAACACGCGTATCATTCTTTTGAGGCCATGGCGACGCCTTAGACATTCTTTGTTGTTATGGAATCACTATCGACGCTCTTCTTTGTTCACGCAACGAATGCGAAAAACAGTACGGCCTTTCGACACGGGCTTCTGGCCGGGGCCATTTTCAGTGTTCGTGCGTATGGCATGCACGTGATGTGTTTGCCTTCAGAAGCAACAAACGTGCGCGTCCTGGGCTGTGGAGATCGCACGCTGGGCTGTAAATTTTTAAAAATTGAAATGTTGGATAAATTGAGCTCTAACTCTACTGCTGATATATGCCGCAGCACACAAGACGACCAAGAAAATGACCAAGATCTGGAATGGGTTATACAAGCCAACGAAGCCAAACCAGCGCTGAGAGCCTAAAGACTCTGGTTAAAATTCACGCCCGACGTTTCCAAGTACGGACAACCACTGTTGTGCGAACATTAGAGACACGGCCACGAAAGATTGCTGCACTGCCATTGGCTTCCAAGAGCCTCGTGTGGCACAGGCATTGTGTACTGGCGCATTTGACGTTGCTTGCAAGGCAAACACAAGCACACCAAGGGACTTTGCTGAAAGTATATGCCTTTTCCGCTTGGTCTCGGGGATCAAAAACCACGGTGTCGTGTGCATGTTTTTATGACTGGATTGGTTGGCATAGCTGATGAGATCGGCCGCGGTCTATTTGAAAGTAAAGGCGATGGGCGCGGCGGTAAACAATGCAATTTGGACGTTGCCATGGCATCACTACGTCGTACATCCGTTGCCTCTCATTGATCCCATTTATTGTGCGTCGTAGCCGACATAAATCACACGACGGGAAAATCTAGCCGACATGCAAAACTAGAGTGCCTCAATGTCCTTCTGTTGAGGGTGAGGCCATCGTTCGTAGAACTTGATGACGACAGCACGCGCTCACATGGAAAATAGAAAAGTTGCAGGAAACAAAATGTCGCTCTAGCGCAGTCAGCGCCACGAACGCGTGCAGGGACATGCTTTTTCACGCGCTTCAGAGCAAAGAAATAAATATAAGAGTTCAAAAAAAATTGGTAAGGTGTCATCACCCCATGCCACCGAGCCCCGAAGCAAAGTGCACATAAAGGCACGCTAGGCAAATCCGATCCTAGCAGCAAACGCGTGCCGCGAGCCACCTTTCGTACGAGCTCGAGAGAAGAAAACAACAGCAAATGCTCTTGCAGCTTGATTCTGCTGTCGCCATCTCGTCGAACTTAATGAAAAAGAGTCTGTCCCGTCCAATTTATTTACACAAATACTACAATACGCAGGGTGTTTCACTGAAGGTGGACAAATTCGATATTGCGAAAACTACGCGTTGCACAAAAAAAAAGGCTTGTGTCGTTTTGTTTTTAGGCCAGGGGCCCCACTTAGGAAAATGATTAAAGTTTGAGATAACTAAGTTGTTAATTATTTTCGTGTAATTAATCTTATAGATATTGAGCTTAAGGACATGGTTTAATTTCGAAACTTGCTGAGCATCATTGAAACACACTAAATAAGAGAATTGAAGTGCTATAGAAGACACCCCGATAGAAAAGACCATAAATAAAATATCATGGTCCATCAAACTTTCTTGATGGTTCGTCAAACTTCTCTGATGGCCCATCAAACTTCCCTGATGGCTCACCAGGCTTCCTTGATGGTTCACCTGACCTTCTTGATGGCTCTTGATGGTCTATCAGACCCTCCAAATAGACCATCAAAGAAATTTCGATGGTCCATCATACTTCCTTGACGGCGTCTGATGGACCATTGAAAACGTCTTCTTGGTTCGTCAGTTGCTCCAATGGCACCTGATGGTCCACCAGACTTCCCTGATGGACCATCCAGAGCGTTAGATGGTCTGTCAGGTACTTTAGTGGCAGCTAATGGTCCATCAAACCTCCCTGGTGGACCATCACAAGCGTTTGACGGTCGGCCAGAAGCTCATAACTGCATTTGATGGGTCGTCAGACCATCAGGCGATGGACCATCAAAAGTGTTTTGTACCATCAAATCGCATTTATTTATTTATTGCATGTTGCCCCGCAGTGCCAAGAGGAATTATTTCAGGGGGAGGGGGGTGTAGGTGTGAGAATCCATTTGCACAAGAATTACGGTCGTCAGATACAGAAACATACAAAAAAAAAAAACAAGTTCGCAAAAAAATTGTGTTGCTTTGACAAAGTATAGGCATTTCCACGATTTATATTCTGCGGTGGCTGTTATATGTGACGACAATATTTCATCAGTCGTGGGCGCGCGTTGTTGCAGTGGTTCTGAGCGAGTGCGTATTCCTCTGAACTCGATCGCATGCATGCTTAAACCAACCGCAT